AGAGAGAGAGAGAGAGAGAGAGAGAGAAGGAGAGAAGGAGGGAGGGAGGGAGGGAGGGGAGAAAGAAGGAGGGAGGAGAGAGAGGGAGGGAGAGGGAGGGAGAGGGAGAGAGTCGTCGGAGGGGAGAGGGAGAGACGACTCAGAAAGTGGAATCAGCACAAGCAACCTAAAGGGGGAGGAGGAGAAAAACCCTTGAATCGTTATAACTAAACCCCAGATGCAACGCAAGCAACGACTTCGTCACACTAAAATAGATTTTGCGAGGGCCAAAATTATAAATTACGAAGCAGAAATGAATATCAAACAACTTCCAGCGGTTTGCACCTAGAGAAAGACAAGAACCCACTGCAAACAAACAAGCCCAGTCCAAACAACGCCTCCAGTAGGAAGAGAGGAATACCGCTACCACTCGACCCCCGAGAAGAGACCAGACCAACACGCTGAGAGTGCGGGCATCTACCAACCTCCGAGGGTGCCACGGACTGAGCTGCACTTCGCTGCTCTCTGGACATTAATTACATCCTTCACCTTCCATTTGGGGGAGGGTGAGGAGAAAGGCACTCACCTATGCAAGTCCTACCAGCCTGGGAGAGAAGTTTAAGAATGAAACACTGAATGTTTCGCTTTTATTTCTAAATTTACTTTGGCACTTAAAAGACCTCTTTTTGCAGATTTCTGGGCAATCTCGGCTGCTGACTTCTAAGCCGAACCTCTGGGTAACCTGAATTTTGCTCTCACCCTCTCTTCCTCCCCCCCCAACCCTTCATCTCTCCAGCAAGCACATCTTTATTTTACGTATCAAGAGAAAGCAAAAAAGGAAAGAAAGAAAGAAAAAGGTCCCACCAGGTTCTTTTCTTTTTTTTTCCCCAAAGATCACCTTTTCTCTTATTTTCTGGAGAAGGAAAACGGGTTTCGGAAAGAGGGGCGGGATCCAGCCGGCTGTCGCATCAGCCGGTCAGCCCTGGTGGGAAACAAGAGTGAAAGTGGGGCTTAGGGGGAGCGCACCGCCTCTTTCGCGAGCCGCAGGGCTGCCACCAGTGTGTGCGCCTTGGATCCCTCAACGTATTGCGAGACGCCGGTGTACAGCCCGGACCTGTGCCCCAACATGATCGCCGCTCAGGCCAAGCTGGTTTACCAGCTCAATAAATACTACACGGAGCGCTGCCAAGCGCGCAAGGCGGCCATCGCCAAGACCATCCGAGAGGTCTGCAAGGTGGTCTCGGACGTGCTCAAGGAGGTGGAGGTGCAGGAGCCTCGCTTCATCAGCTCCCTGAGCGAGATCGATGCCCGCTACGAGGGGCTGGAGGTGATCTCGCCCACAGAATTCGAGGTGGTGCTCTACCTAAACCAGATGGGCGTCTTCAACTTCGTGGACGACGGCTCCCTGCCCGGCTGCGCCGTGCTCAAACTGAGCGATGGTCGGAAGCGGAGCATGTCTCTCTGGGTCGAGTTCATCACAGCGTCCGGCTACCTCTCCGCGCGCAAGATCCGCTCCCGTTTCCAGACGCTGGTGGCTCAGGCGGTGGACAAGTGCAGCTACCGGGACGTGGTCAAGATGATCGCGGACACCAGCGAGGTCAAGTTGCGCATCAGGGAGCGCTATGTGGTGCAAATCACTCCGGCGTTCAAGTGCACCGGGATCTGGCCTCGCAGTGCAGCACAGTGGCCTATGCCTCACATCCCCTGGCCAGGCCCCAATCGGGTGGCGGAGGTCAAGGCCGAAGGGTTCAACTTGCTCTCGAAGGAGTGCTACTCGCTGACCGGCAAGCAGAGCTCCGCGGAGAGCGACGCCTGGGTGCTACAGTTCGGGGAGGCTGAGAACCGCCTGCTGATGGGCGGCTGCCGAAACAAGTGTCTTTCGGTGCTGAAGACGCTGCGGGACCGCCACCTGGAGCTGCCAGGCCAGCCGCTCAATAACTACCACATGAAGACGCTGCTGCTGTACGAGTGTGAGAAGCACCCTCGGGAAACGGACTGGGACGAGGCGTGCCTCGGCGACCGGCTCAACGGCATTCTGCTGCAGCTCATCTCCTGCCTGCAGTGCCGCCGCTGCCCGCATTACTTTCTGCCCAACCTCGACCTTTTTCAGGGCAAGCCCCATTCAGCCCTGGAGAGTGCTGCCAAGCAGACCTGGAGGTTGGCCAGGGAAATTCTCACCAATCCCAAAAGCCTGGACAAACTATAGGGTGCTGGGGACTGCTTGAAAAGCGACACAAACGGCACCCTTTAGCCCCGCCACAAGTCTCCGCCCAGGAACTGCTCTCTGGAGAAGCTACTCGGAATCCTTTCCCGAGGCTCTACTAAAAGCACCCTGTTGTTTGTTGAAGATTACAGTGAGGTATGAAAGTCAAAGTTATTTGACAAGTGAATTTTAATATTTACCTCATA